ATCAGATCACGGATGTATGATGGACCTTGATTAAGAGCTTTATATGTGAGGATCCCTTTGATCCCTACAATTTGTTCAATCCTTTCTAAAAGAACATTGTGATCAACTGTGTCAAAAGCAGCACTGAGATATAACAAGACTAGGACAGACACAAGACTCTTATCTGAGGCCGTGAGAAAATCATTTGTAACTTTCACTAATGCAGTTTCAGTGCTGTGATACTCTCTTAAACCAGACTAAAATTCCTAAAAGAGATCATTAGTGTTTAATGCTCACATAGTTGATTGGCCAAAATTTTCTCAAGGACTTGGATAAAAATGGAAGATTAGATATTGGTCTATAATTCATTGGGTCATCTGGATCTAAAGAAGGTTTCTTAAGTAAGGGTTTGATTACAGCAACCTTAAAATCCTGTACTACGTATCCATTTACTAAAGACAGATATATTATATCTAAAATGGGGGCAGTAACCAAAGGAAATGCATCTTTACATAATTTGGTTGGGATTGGATCTAAAATAAAAGTTGAGGTTCAGATGAAGCTAATATTTTTAATAACTCTGAAAGCTCAACTGAATCAAAATAGTTCAAACACAGATGAGGTTCTACAGTTACCTCTGTTGCTGCCTCACTTGCAGGGGAACAATAAATCGCATTAGGGACGATGCTAATTATTTTATTTCTAACAGAATTAATTTTACTCATGAAAAATCCCATAAAGTCATTGCTGCTGAGGGCTAAGGTTATAGATGGTTCAGAGCTATGATTCTGTGTAAATTTGGCAACTGTACTGAAAAGAAAATTTGGATTATTCTCATTCTCAAATAGCGATGAAAAATATGCAGTTCTAGCTTGTTGAAGCTTATTTTTTATAAAGCACAAGACTATATTTCCAGGATTTTTCTTAATTTCTTAATTTGGTGGAATTTCAGTGTTTTTCTGAGACAGCTTACATGTGCTGCTGTGTTGGGTGTTTGTTTTTGTACCTGATGGTTGCAACAAACAGACACCGTTGAAGGTAATCATTGCCACAGAAATGAGGAACAGAAAATGAAATTATTCTTTCAATGTTTCGAGCAGCAGGAACTTTGAGAAGCTGCAGGTGCACCCGTGAGTTTGTGGCCAATGTGCAGGGGGTGGGGGGAGAGGGCTGAAGCAGAGGGAACAGTAAAGATGCAAAAGCTACCATTGTTAAAAGAAGTGTGTGTTAACTTTGAAAATGTGGGCACAATGTTTAATTGCTTGTCAAAAGCTCCAGCTTTTAGTGGTTGATTGTTACAATACTAGATTACTGCCCATACACACAAATGTACTTTTGTTATTACTTTTTCTTCAAATTATTATTACTGGTGCTGCTGTAACAAGTGAATTTCCCCACCGTGGGATCAGTAAAGTCTATTTTATTCTGTTCTATGGATGGATGGGTGTGTAGGGTTAACTACATACTAGAATCAACACTGTTGCTATTCAGTTGTAGATTCTTAGAAGGACCAAGCAGATTAACCTATGAGGCTTATATATCGTGTATAAAAATCCTGGATACTTACATAATCGATCTAAGTTCATACACCAACCTGTTCAGTCTATTTTTAATCCAAAGATTCATGTTTAATTTAAGATAATTAAATTTAATAGTAAAAGTTTATTTTTGAATCAGAAGCTAGGAATTTTTGCTTTTCAATAACCAGAAATTTTTATACCTTTCTGTGTTTCATTTCAAAGAATGAGGCAAGTTTAAAAATGAAGAATTTTATTACTAACAATTTTTAAACTTTACGATTGGAACGACAATTATAAATGACAATTCATGGATGACAATTTTATGACAATTTTTAACAGCTTTGATATTAAACTTGTTTTAAAAGGCAAACCTGTGGCTGGATGAAAGCTAAATGAAAATACGAGTTTGGATGCGTGAATGGATTTCTCAGAAGGTTTCTTTCAGAGAGAGGAAAGCGTTCTGGGCTGGAAATGATGTTTTGCTGCTACCTGAGTTGTTTACTTAGAGAACAGCATCAAACATCATCTGTCGAAAGTGTCCACCTCACCCAGTTTCCGGAGACCCCCTTTTGGATCCGAGATGTCAAGCGGAGATGATTTCCTCCGGGCACGAGGATCGTAGAAGGACCTCGATGCCACCAAATCAGTCCTGGGTTGTCTCCGTGGGTCACACGACTGATGAAATTATTTGCGTCTCAAAGTCCGTAACTCTGAAGGAGTTTTTGCATCTTAACTCAGAAATCAATAACTCTGGAAGGAGTTTTTCATCAGCTGGTTACAGTTTACGTTTATTCTTAGCTATTCTTGTCGGCGTGACAGAACAGCTTGGCAGAGGATCAGGGTGGCCGTCCTGTCTCCTCAGGATGCTGTTGGTTCAAGAACTGACGTGAAAGCTGTTGCAAGTTAGTTTACAAAGTCCTCAGAACACACCCACTCTCAGCAAGAATGCTTTGGTCATACGTCAAAAACATGTGTTGGCAGTTATTGTTTACTCTGGATAAACTCTGTGTTAGATGGATAAGGTGGAAGCTGGCCTTCTGATTTACTGAGCACACATTACTGTCATCAACCATAATCATAACTATACCCAAAGCATAATAATTCATTTCAGTAATTAAAATACATTTATACTGAACCAAGTGATTATTTATGATGATTATAATAAATAGTAATAAAGTCAAAGAGTTTATTAATATCATTATCTAATTATTATCGTGAACTTGAAGTGTCCTTCTGGGATGGAACAGCAGCAGATAATGAGATATGTTCTTCAGACATCATGACTCCTGGGTTAATCTGTGGATTTAAAAGTTACTGTCTGACCCAGCTTGACCCAGCTGGGTAAATGTGACCTTTGCCACAAATTAGAGAACCTTGATGATGCTATGGATGGATGGATGGCTGGATGGATGGGTGGCTGGCTGGCTGGATGGATGGATGGATGTTGGTTAAAGGTCTGACTTCTCCATATGTATTGTTACAAACACACACAGACATCTCGTGTGTTTTTCTGTCATGTTTGTAGCTGTGTTTGAGGCCGTGAGGATTGCTGCGATCTTCCAGCAGCTCTTCCATTATCTCACACTGACGACCTCAGACCCACAGATGAAATAGCACAGATCACGCTTCCAGCCACTCACAGCACACGTGTACATTTGCACACTTTATTTAAGCTTTTAAAGGCTGAGCGGTGTATCTCCAGTGTAAAGTACTTTCTGAAAAACAGATTTATTGACTTTTCAGAGGTGTCAGAGGTTTTTAATTCCTCTTGTACCCCTCGATATCCTTTAAGACTTTCTTGCACAAAGACCATTGCTGACTTTACAAGTCTCCTACCAATTGTTGCTCTATTTGCTTCTCCTGAGCTTAGTGGCCTTTCCCCCATTCTCCTTTTAGCACATCTGACTCGTCTTGCCCTCACTGCAGAGAAAGAGCTCAACAGCGAAAAAACAATGTAGAAGAAAATGGAAAACTACCTTTTAGCCTTTCCGTTTGTGTTGAGTCGCTGATCTCCTTCTTTCAGGATGCTTTTTTTCTATCCTTCACTCTCTACAATACATTAAACCGTAAGTGTGTGTGTGTTAAATCTTTTTTCTGACTTAATGGCATTACCTATGAAGGTTATTACAGCTATTAGGACAGGGACAAGGAAAAAACGCAACATTTTTTTCTGCAGACCCAAAAATAAAACAAGTTTGTTTTATTCTATCACAAACGTTCTGGTGCAGAAATGAGGTAAGAGCCAGTAGCTACATTATGAAATAAAAACATAAAGGGAGTATTTTCATGGGAGTTTGAATCGTGTCCCATCATTGCACCGATGTTTAATAATCAGAGTGAATAATGAAGGTGTCAGCTGCAGAGATGTCATCTAGGAATTCAGAACACATTCGCCATGACTGGAGGAGACTGGTGAAGTGCCTCCCTGTGGCTCTCCCATCCTGTCAGACTCTGAATAGAGTGTCAGTCGTCTCTGCTGCAGCTTCTGTAAACATTTTCTTTATCCTGTCTCCACGCCTTAGTTGTCAAAGGTTTTACTTTGACACGCGCCCACTCACTCACTCACTCAGACTGATCCTGGTTCTGTCCTGCAGTCATTAAATCCACTTATTGGTTTTCTTTTTCTTCCTATGTGGTGCAGTTCTAAAAATATTTAGCTTGAAATTAGATTACACGGAGACCTGCATTTGCAGAAAGGTTATGCAACTAGTGGGTGCAAATAAGGATCATTTACCAGGTAAAGCTCTTGCAACAGGGAATTTCTGCATTTAGAATAAACCATTTCCTGGTTTATGTAAACTACTGCTAGTGCAGAAAGGTTGAGGATTTTCTAAGATCTGCAACATGCGTTTGGCATAAATAATTAGTGTCAGAAGTGCTGGACGTAATTGCATTTCAGGAAAAGAAAATGAGGGCAGGTGTGTCGTGAAAATTTAATTTGTCTTTTCCTCCAGTGTTGCTCAAGTGATATTAAGCAGATAAACTGTAGATAATCTGCACACCTCGGCAGGAAGACACCCAAAGAGATTAGAATTCTTCTAATTTCACGAGTAAATATCAAAGAAAAAGTTGTTTGTTTTTATTAGATGAAAATAAAAGTATGCAGTGCTGGTCTGAAACATTTCTCCCTGATAAAGTAGATATTTTTTCCCACTTATGTCAATGCCTTTTTTTTCATCCTTTGTTCCTGTTTGTATCAGAAATTTGTTTTGAGCAACAAAAACTGCAGAAACCTGAAGTAAAAAAGAGAAAATTGCTCAAAGCTGTGTTTGCTTCAACAAATAATTAGTACTATTTGTTTTGATGATCTAACTTTGAGAAGGAGCAGATAGCTGAACCCAACAATGTGCAAAACTAGTGCAACAAAAGAGGTGCTGTTCTGCCCTAGTGAGTCTGGGCCTGAATGTTTTAGTGAAGATGTCTTAAATGATGCATCAAGATTTTGTCATTATCCTAAAGTAGACCATCTCATTACATTTTTGCATTTCTCTGTCTCTACAGTGATTTGTGGAACCCCTCCCACTGTGGATAATGCCTTCCTGATTGGACGAAAGCGTTCACACTATGACATCCACTCAGTAGTGCGCTACCAGTGCACTGACGGCTTCCTGCAGCGCCATGTGCCCACAGCTAAGTGTCGTGCCAATGGCAAGTGGGACCGACCTAAAATTATCTGCATAAGATGTGAGTTTAACACAGCAGGGGTTTCAACAGGCAGGACCTAAAGCTGTATTTTCATTTGTTTTATTTTTAGCAGGCACCTCAGCACAGTTCCACAACACCAAACCTACATTAAGTGCCCTGAGGCGCCGCTGACACCTGTGCATTCAGGCTCTCCAGCCCCTGCGCTCATTATTATTAATTGTGAGCGAAGATGGCTGTAGCTGCAGCCTGAATTAATTCCCCTGGCTTGCTCAAAAGTGATTGGTTATCTTTGAAAGTGTTTTTTATATACATATATATATATATATATTTTTTTTTTTTTGCTCAAGGTTGTATTTTTATTTCTTTATCAAAAAATGTTTTTTAAGCAGGTACCCACTTTTAATACAATAGATGCATGAAATAGTGCACCAATTTTTACTATTTTACATGATGATTAATGCAAAACGTATGCACCAAAAAATCAGGTAACGACTCTGGGAGCTTTTTTAGAGGGAAAGAAATTAGGACTGTGACACATCCATTTTTTTCTTTTATCACACACCTACTTTACACACATCTGACATAAATGTGACTTATTTTAACTAAATCTGACATTCTCACTCAAGAAAACATTCATTGGGCCCATTTTGAATGGGGATATAAAAATTTAATAAAAATTCATTTGCAGCAATCTTTTGACAGCACTGATGAAATGCTGAAATAATGTAGCTTCTGTTGAAGCAGAAAAAACAACACTTCTTATGAGTCCTTTTCCGTGGACTGGATTGTTGTTTATGGGCCAGAGTCATGCGTGTGTTTATCATTCATGGCAGACGACACGCTGGACCATTGTAATTTGGCAGGAACCAGCTTACCTTTTAGGATTGGAGTGGCTAGCACAGCACGCCTTTGCTAATGAACCCTTTTCTGTATGATATGAGAAAAATAAATTCTCGCCGAGCCTTGTTGCGTTTGACCTTGCTGATATTTGATCTCATCTCCTCACTTCACCCGTCTCCTACTGTCTACCTGAGATCCTCTGAAGTTTACACGGACCTTTATGTCCTTTTTTTAACCATGATTCCTCTCATGTTTCACTCTTTATTTTACTGCTGATTCACTATTTTAATAAAATAAACACCTTTTGTATGTTTGTTTGTTTTTATGCTTCCAGCTCGGCGAGCCCATCGTTACCGGCGCCACCACCACCACCACAAGGGGAAGAGGGAGCGCCGGAAGCACAAGAGGCATGGCCATAGACAGGGGGGTCACCATGGAGGGGAGCTCAGCCAGGCCCACAGCCACGCCCACTTCTGAACCAAAATAAAAAAGGACATCCGATTCCCGATTCTCCTGCAAGCTGCCGTTTGCCTGTTTCCCTGCTGTCCTCGTTTCCCCAAATACCTCTACACCCCCACCGCCCACCTTCATGTACCACACTCTCCTCTCAGAGGCAACCTGCATATTAGTCCAATCTGAGGCTTGGCAAAGTGCTGCCACACGTCGCCAGGACTTTAACCAACCCTAAAATTTCCTTTAACGTTTGGTTCTAACCCTTCTGTCTTTCATCTCCCCTCCCACTTGATCCATTTCCTCTGCCTTTGAGCTCTTTGAGCTCTGACCTACATGCTGACCTGTTTTCGACGAAGAACGGAACAAAAACCTTCAAGATTGACCCTGAGCATACTTTAGTGAGGTACGAACTGTAAATAGGGATGACATCAATGAAAGTCAGACGAGTTCATGGTGATGTTGTGGTAATGACTTGAGCCTTTTGTCTACCGAACAGTTATTTTTTACAAATACTCTGTGTTCATTTGCTATCTTCTGCTGCTTTTGGTTTGCCCTTTGTAAAACTAAACAGCTAACTGATTCTTTTTTTTTTTTTTTGGAACCAGAGGCAGATGTAATTGAATGATTTGATTGTTAGCTTTGTATTTTCTTGTCAGTGTGAGACAGTTACTTTAGATCAGATGATGAAACCCCAGAGGAAAAATGGAAAACTCCCCCCATCTTCATTCAGCTTCATCACATCAACACATCAGTCTCTCCTCAGAAGTGTTGAACAATCTCAAACCGTTCCTGCTGTGTCAACATCCTCACCTGTCGTTGCCAGGGGTTCATCTGCACGTTTGATTCCAGCTTGTCTCAACTCAGATCAGCACTCATACACCTGTTTTCACTCATTGTTTGTGATGTTGTTTGTTGCTGGAGGATTTTGAGCTGTGAATGTGTTGTGTGTCTGTTCTTCCCCTATTTTAGAGTTTCACAGATGTTTTAGGGCATTTTGCTATGTGTTTTGAGATTTGAGATTAGATCATGAAGCATGTGTGACTTTATAAACTTGAAGAAACATTTTAAATATATGGAAGCACATGACAACATTCTGATGTGGACTACCCTGGAGAGGTTGTTGTAGATTTAAGTGATTGGCATGTTTTCCCTTTTAAAAATGGATTTTGTTTGAAAATAGGTGTATTATTGGAATAAATTTACAATGTCACCAGGAAATAGATGCATCCTTACCTTGCAAGGGAGCTAGATCACTAGACAAACCATCTATGTTACTAAACCCTGGGACATCTTTATAGAAGGAGTGTAGAAAGCTAACATAATATCCTCCATCATTTGATGAATGTCTTACATTTAAAATGTGAACAAAGATTTCTGCACAGGTGCAAGTGTTTAGTTTTCTTTTACGTAACAAGAAACTGACAGAAGGTTCATCCAGATATCAGAGCCTGATGGTTCTGTTCACAGCTTCTGGTGCATCAGGTTTGTTGATTCCTGTTTAAACCGTTCAAAGTAACTTTTTTTTTTACTCCAGATTGATTTTAAAGTGAAATTACCTTCTCCATGTCTGATAGCTCCCTTCATGTTATTCTGAAAAATGCTTGAATACTCCTATAATCCCTAAAATCTGTTTCAGCATCTGATGATTATGCCACCAATGCCTCCATCTTGGATGTTGCCCGTGTCTTCAACACTGTCTTCTGCGGGTGGTGTGGGTCTACAGGAGGAGATGCCATGAAGCTCATTTAAGCTGAACCAAACCCCGTAGGTAAAGGCCTGGCCACCAAGTGGTTGCAAACGAGCCACTACCCCATGCCTTTCTCCCGGGTGAGGCTCTGGTATCCCAACTCTAGATGAATTGTGCTGAGTCAGGCCTAGTGACTGTAGATAAAAGATGGACAGACCCTCTGCGCTGTCACCATTGACTGTTAAAAATACGGACAAACCCTCCGGGACGTCACCCATGGGTTTCTGAGGCTTTGAGTTGAAGCCTAGTGGGCGGTTCCAATCAAGAGTCTTGTCACGCTCAGACATTCAAAAAATGGACAAACAGGTGGGGCTGAGCGCAAGACTCTGAGAGTCTGAGTCAGCCATTTATTCCCCAGCTACAAGCTAACTGTGCTAATCAAAGCTTACAGAGATCCTCTGGTGATTTTAGCCAGAAAAATGCAGTTGAGCAACTCAAAAGCGAAGCGCGCGTCAACTCAGAGTTGTGGTATTTCTGCGGCCTCCCTCAGAGAGCTGGCTGGGTTTCAGTACCCAACCAGCCCTACCAACATGTCATAGTTGAACCCATTTTTGACCAAGCAGTGTTTTATTGAATGCGTTTTCAACCAGCTAATTAAAGTACAGAGATATAATTTTACTGCAGATAAAAATGGAACAAAAACTTTTTGTATGGTCTGTTAGTCAATCAATACCACAGCTAGCCATTTTTGTCCAACAATTACACGAATAACATCCAAACACAAACGGGACACAATTAATGGTCAAGTTCAACGAACCTAAAAGATCGAACATTTCATAACTGTTAAAGTTTTCCATGCTTGAGACCAGAGGAGGTGGGGGTGTTTGTGGACGACTTGTGTCTGTGAAAGTGTGTTTTGGGTGGACGGGACTCGTGTCACCTCTCTCCGCTGTCCGTGAGAGCGCAGAGGGGATTGCTGTTTCAGCGAGAGAAATTGAAGGTGTGGCATGACTGTGTGTGAAGGTCAGATTTGTGTGTCTCGTATTCAGTGCATGAAAGTTGTTTTTTTCAGCTGTGAAGTTGGCATTTTTAACATAGGACTCAACGGGAACTTTCTCCTGTCTGGAGCCATCCCCCAGCGGACGAGGGGGGCACTTAACTTCCACACTGGCTTCGCCTTTGGCAGGTGGAGTTTTCCCCTTCGTCATGCCCCTCCCCCACAACTCATTATCCATGAGGGGACCTAACAGGTAAAAACTGCCCAAGAAAACCACTTATGGGATCCTTGGGGCAATCAAACCCACCCTGTAGGTGACCATGCATTGCGAGGATATTAAGTTGTTCCTCGTTAAGTTACTAAAGTAACTTAATTACTTTGCAACAATATCCTCCACTGCAGTTATGGGTCCTTTTCAAATGCAAGTTAACTTTGTGAGCGTGTCCTTATGTTCATCTGAATATCTTTTATTTTAAAGTAAAGTTAAATGTTGGATAATACATAAACTTACAGGAGCAGCATGCTGTTAGAAATCAGCTGTTAGAATTTGTTTTTGAAGCTTCATGGGTTGAACATGAACAGGCATGAATAGACTCGTGTTGATGGCTGTGAAACCATTAATCCAATGTGTGAACAGGGTATAACGGTGGTTAAAGGTATGAAAAAGGTTTTAGGTTTTGCTCGTATCCTTGGGTGTAGGTTATAGGACACATTGACGGTGGTTGACGTCTCCCTCGATGATGGAGGTTCCTGTTTCTGATGTGAGCTCACAGTTGTTCACAGCTGAACTCGACTCGGCCGCGTGTTATGTTTTTAAAAGAAGGATAGAGTCAAAAGGATTAAGTGCTTTGCTTTCTTTTTCTCCATCTTCACTGTCCAGATGAATCATTGTTTTTTTTTAAGCCAGCCTTTGAGGTTGGAGCTTCTGGGATTACAACCCAGACACTGACTGCTTCATGTCTTTTTGATGGTTTTACCTCCATCTTCTTTACTCTTTGCTGCTAGTCATCCATTTTTGGCTCTCTGCTTATTTTGTGATAGAAAATGATAACACATACATTCACTCAGTTTAACCCTATCACTCCTGGAACACAGTCACATCAGTTAGGAAAGTCCACCCTGTGCCATGAATTATTTGTCTTTGTCTCCTCTCACCTTGGCAGTGACAACACCGGTAAATCTGCACCTTTATATCAGTCCGATTAATCTGCTGCATGTTTATTTAACACGTAGCATTATCTGTCCAACAACGGAGCGGCGATGGCAGGAGAAGAGTAATGTTGACGGACAGCCAGGGGAGGCTACAGGGCGACTGTCTTAGCCGTCAAACCCCTGTCACTTTGCAGATGACAGGCTGACAATGGGTATTTTTTCTGTCAAATGGCTTGCTCATGGGTGGTGAATAAAAGGGCAGACAGAATCCCCTCTCGCAGCAGAGCTGATGCTCAAAGATGGGTAATTACAGTCATGTAAAAGTTCAGCTATGTGACAGGACAAAAAAATCGTAATGGGATTAAGTGGTGGTTGAGTCGAGCTGCAATACATATCTGGAGGAGACAAAATGTGATGCGATCAAAAACATAGTGATGAAGAGAGGAAATCAATTCTCAGCAGGAGCATCACAGAATTATCTTCATCTTTCATCCAAAATAAGGAGAACGGACACTGACAGCATTTTGTCTTTAGTTGAAAGTTTGAGAAGCCAAAAATAATGTCTACTCCACATAAAAAGGTCTGTGTGAAAATAGTTTCCTTTAACAACGTCTTCTTGCAACACATTCTCACTCCCCGTGCGTCAAAAACAAACGCTTGGTCAGCCACCCTCCGCGTCACACCCCTGACGCCAAAAGTGCCCTTTTTCGTCACTTATGTGCCAAAAGGGGTTTTTCCCTTTTCTGACTGCAGATCCCAATGCAGCGTAAAACTGATGCGATTAGATATCCGCTGATGCGGCACCGAACCAGCTCATTTCACCGCACCTAAACCTTAACGTTTCACTATTTATAACCTTCCCCTCTCCCTCATCCTAACCTTAACCCTCTTGCTACCTAAAACGTTACTCTCACTGTGATCAAGCATTTGTTTCCCATGTATTCTGACTCTGACAGGCAGAGTCTGACTGTAATTTTTGTATTAGCTGCCCAAGGGGAACGTTAGAACATACCATCTGCAAGGGGGAGGTTACACATACCCTCTACCTTAAACCTCCCCCGTGGTAGTTGAAACTTCCCCCTCGCATTGGCTCAGTCCAAACTCGACCAATGACGAGGCGGCTCTCGCCGTTCACTTCATAGAGCCGGCTTTTAGAGCGATCGACACATCACTAACGTGTTCACTAGCAAGACGGTTAAGGTTAGGATAGGGGTGAGGGGAAGGTTAAATAACAAGAGGATAAGGTTAGGGTGAGGTACAATGAGCTTGTTTGGTGCCCTGGCTGCGGACATCCCATCGCGTCAGTGTAACGCTGCATTGGGATCTGCAGTCAAATAAGGGAAAAACCCCTTTTCGCACATAAGTAACGAAAAAGGGCACTTTTGGCGTCAGGGGTCTGACGTGGAGGGTGGCTGACCAAGCGTTTGTTTTTGACGCTCTGGGAGTGAGAATGTGTAGCGCAGCCAGGGCACCAAACAAGCTCATTGTACCTCACCCTAACCTTATCCTCTTATGTAACCTTCCCCTCACCCTATCCTAACCTTAACCATCTTGCTAGCGAACACGTTAGTGATGTGTCGGTCACTCTAAAAGCCGGCTCTTTGAAGTGAACGGCGGGAGCCGCCTCGTCATTGGTCGGGTTTGGACCGAGCCAACGTGAGGGGGAGGTTTCAACTACCATGGTGGAGGTTAAAAGTGGAGGGTATTTGTAACCTCGCCAGATGGTATGTTCTAACGTTCCCCTTGGGCGGCAAATACGAAAATTCACAGTCAGAATACATGGGAAGTAAACGCTTGATCACAGTGAGAGTAACGTTTTTGGTAGCAAGAGGGTTAAGGTTAGGATGAGGGAAAGGTTATAAATAGTAAAGCATTAAGGTTTAGGTGTGGTTAAATGAGCTGGTTCGGTGCCGCATCAGCGGATATCCCATCGCGTCAGTTTTACGCTGCATTGGGATCTGCAGTCAGAAAAGGAGAAAACCCCTTTTGGCACATAAGTGACGACAAAGGGCACTTTTGGCGTCAGGGGTCTGACGTGGAGGGTGGCTGACCAAGCGTTTGTTTTTGACGTGCTGGGAGTGAGAATGTGCTCCTTCTTGGGAGGAAATAGACTTTCTCACGTAGCAGAAGAAGGAAAAAAATCCTACCTTAACGATGTTAAATGAATTCAAACACTAGAAACTTCAAACGCTGTTTGGCTCTTTGCTTTTGACAACTCGTTTTAATCTTCCCCGCTCGCACCCCTTCTCGTCTTCCGTCTCTGGGCACTTGAGCCCCGAGGGCAGGCAAACAGACAGCCACAGAGCCCAGTTATAGGGATTCTTAATGATGAAGAAGAGCAAGTTAACAGAGAGGTTTTTGCCAGCTGTCTCTCGGCTTAGCAACGAGCTCAGTGCCTGAGGGGGAAGAGCCATATAGCCTCACAGTCAGTAGGCCCTTTTGTTGCTTATTGCAATCGTCATTATTTGCACTTATAACTCATGCTAAAGACATGGAAGCTTAACACGGGTGAGAGGAGAAAGGTTTAGGATTGATTGCAACAGACATTCGAGTGCTTCAAACTGTGTTACAGACTTAAAAACCAGGCCTGCTGCATCTAATTTTAAGTTCCAGTTCAGAATATCCTGAAAATGCTGCAAACTGAGCAATCCCAAAGTAATTTATGCAGTCAGTATTGAACAGTATAGTTCACTTCTGATCAGTAAAAGAGCAAAGAAAGAAAAGACAATAGAAATGGCTAAATCCACGCTGTCGTTCTTTTTTTAAAACACAGAAACTGTTTCGTTACCTGTTTTGTCGCTACGTTTTGCCGGCGTCTGCAGGCTTCCTCAGGCTGACGCTGATGGTGGTGCGTCACTTCCTTCTCCGTTTATCCGTGGGCAGCAGAGAACGTTGTCGCCCTCTGCTGCCCGCTCTCCCCTCTCCGACGATGCAGTCCCATGTGCGGTCCAACGTGTACACTCCGTCGTCCCTGTTCATGGTCCCACATCCACGTCTCTTTATCTGGATTGCTTCTTTAACAACGTCCTCTGCTGCCTGCGGATAAACGGAGGAGGAAATGACGCGCCACCATCAGTGTCAGCCTGAGGAAGCCTGCAGCCGCCGGCGAAACGTAGCGACAGAACAGGTAATGAAACCGTTTCTGTGTTTTAAAAAAAAGAACGATAGCATGGAATTAGAACTAATACACAGCAAGAACACATCTAAGATGTTCAAAGAGAAATGGCTAAACTTTTGGAGTGAGGCTTTGTGGATGTGTACCAAAGTACAAACAGATCCATAATGTTGCCTCACCTTGTCGTAGGGATGGAGAACTCCTAAAGCCGGATGGACACTGTGCGACTCACTTACTTACTTGTAGCATTCAGCTCCATCCCAAATTGTACGACTTAGTCGTGTGTTTACAGTGTACCACCCAGTTCTCAGATGCAACATGACTGCTCACACTACATCTGGTAGCAACACATCGAACCTGCTAAAAATAGCATTTTCTACACAATACGTCTGACTTTCTTTGTGCTGTTATTGATGTCTGCTGTCCTTCGGGATTGCTGTAGGAGGACACAGGGGTTTATGTGGGTTGGGGGAGGAAGACAAAAGAAAGAAAGCAAATCAATGTTTTATCAGTATTATTTGACGTAAACACGGCAAACATGCTTTCTTGACCACCTTGTCATTATGTGTGAAAAAAGTGTATAATTAAAAACAAATGACATGAGGGAAATAGCTGGCGAGCCGTGTTGACGCAAGTTTGCGCATGCGCCGTGAGCAGTTCTGGTACTTTATGGGTCGCAGCGCTGCTTCAACAGTGCAATACCCTCATGAGGGACGAGCAAAATATCAAACATGGCAGAAATTTGTGAGAGCTCACAATTGCTGATCAGCAGCTCTCACAAGGTGTTAATCGCCTCGCGTACCCCCCTGTATACTACACCAGTGTTTCCCAACCCTGATCCTCAGGGCACACTGACCTGGATGTTTTCCATGTTTCTGCTTCAGCACACCTGATTTACATTGCCTCCTCAGGAGGACATCAAGTGCTGAAGATGCCTGTTAAGTCATACACTTAAGTCAGGTTTGTGGCAGCTGGGAAAACACCGGTGTTTGAAAGGGCAACATGGAAAACATGCAGGACTGTGTGCCTTGAGGAAGAAGAAGAAGAAAATATCATTTCTACAGCGCCTCTGGGTCCACGCCTCTCAAGATGAAAATCACGAGGCGCTTCACAAAAACAAAAAAATGTAAAAATATAGAAAGAATTTAGAAAATGGTTAAAAAATATATTTAAAATGAGCAAAAAATAGACAATTGTGATAAAAAAAAATTTAAGAAAGAGAGAGAGTGAATAGGAAAGAGGGAAATCAGTGGATCCTGAGGAAGGTGGAATAGGTGGGGAGAGCAGAACAAAGAGAGAGTGGTGAAGAAGGTCATACAAAAGCCAGCTTGAACAAGTGAGTCTTCAGCTGCTTTTTAAAGGAGACCACTGAGTCCACTGATCTCAGGCTCAGGGGGAGAAAGTTCCAGAGTCTGGGGGCCACAGCAGCAAATGATCTGTCACCTTTGACCTTTAGCCTGGTGCTGCACAACCAGTAGGCTTTGGTCACTGGACCTCAGGGACCTGCTGGGGGTGTAGGGACTAAGAAGATCACCAATGTAAGATGGTGCTTGTCCATGTAAGGCCCTATAGACCAGAACCAGGATCTTGAAATGAACCCTGAAGTTGACTGGCAGCCAGTGAAGCTGGAGGAGAAGCGGGGTGATGTGGGTGTGTTTGGAGGACTTGGTCAGAAGCTGAGCACAGGCATTCTGAACCACCTGTAGACGGTTCAGGGAGGTTCTGCTGAGACACGTGAAAAGAGAGTTACAGTAGTCTAAGCGTGAGGAGATGAAGGTGTGGACAACTGTCTCAAGTTCAGAGCGGGACAGAATGGAACTCAGCTTTGCAATGTTCCTGAGATGGAAGAAGGAGGACCAGGGTTGGGAACCACTGTACTGACACATTACGTCAAACTCGCCCCAATCTCGTAGATTCTCAAACGAGGGGAAAATCGGCTCAAATAAGTTGCAGCTTGGAGGAGGAGATCTCATGTGAGCCGAGTTTAGGTCTGAAGGCTGCAAATGCAGAGGCGCCACATGCCAAAGGGCAGGCCAGACAAGTGTCTGGAGCTCTGAGGCCAGCAAGGGACCCCAGAGGGCAGACAAACTTTGAACCAAGTCAGAACCGTAACAGTAGTGAGACGGTGAAAATTTCACCTGCTGGCCTAACGGGGCCCTCCCTGTCACTCCCGAGTGAGAGGGACCATTTACACACACACACACACACACGCACACACGCAGAGGTGCACACGTTATCCAATGTAGAAACAGTTGCCCTCGTGTCAGTGCTAGACAGCAGATCTTTTTGCTTGGGGCCCCATGTGAACCTTGCAGCACCATTATGTGAAGGAGAAATGGGCTCTGCACTGTCCTTTAGTGGATGTATTGCATAAGGAGCACACATGGAGAGTATGTAGGCAATGATGTTTGAAAACCTTTGCTGTGAACCCTACTTTTTACATATATGAAGTGAGCATGAATGGGTCGTTAAGAGTCCTGCTTAGCTGTGCTAGCTTTAACATTAGCTAGATGAACTCTGGACTCAGCTAAAATATTTGAAATAAAAGTAATATCATTGAATTTTAAAGGTCTGAATTAATTGGTAGTGTTAAATGTAGCTCTATCACAGCTGTCATGCATTTTCTGATCTTTCATTTCTTAATTTGAAATCCTTCTTTGCATTGATATGCTACATCTAAATGTTGTATGGTTTGTTTGTTGTGTGGCTTCCAGATAACAGATCAGTAACTAAGTGTGGTCTGTTATGACACTGATCAATAAAACTGACTTATTCAATACTGTTAACTTTAACATCGTCATTTCTGGAGTGAGTGCATGCATAAGAGTGTTGTTGCCTTTGTGTGCACCTTTCTACACACTGCAGAAGACGGCCAAACTGTTGCATGAAAGGAGACAGCACTTGTCAGTAGCAGCAGCATGGTAAGAGCAGTAAAAGCTGCTGTCCTTCCCCACTTGCACAGAGACAGACTATTGAGTTTATGATTAGGCAGTCTGTCTTGTGCTGTGATTAAGTCTATTGATGGCATTGACAGTGCAATTGCATCGACTGACCGCTGAGTGTTTTCTAAATGACAGGAAAAAAGACCTCCGTAGCTTGGCGCTCTTCTCTCATGTAAATGCACAAATGTAGATCTGTTACAATCTACATCTTCTTTGGTTTTACGTTTTATGTCTGTTGCATCACTTTCTTATTGTTCACACTCCAACTTGGAGGCACTTCCCTCATGATGTTTGTGTAACATTTACATCTTTCTGGTATTGAGTTGAGACAATTAATTGCCGTCAGGAAAATGCTTGCATTCTTTTGAGATGGATGGATGGATGGAAGCGTGTTTCAGCAGGAGAATGAGAAATGAACGCAGCACAGGAACCGATGACAAATGTTCCTTCACTCCTCTGTCATATATTCTCTCACAAGTTTTTCTTGTCCTTTCTTTACAATCCATTTAAACTCTGGGTGTGTTTGTTGCTTAGCCTCCCCGGGCCATATTCACACAGCCTCTGTAAATCCAAAACCCAACACCCTTCCACCACTCTTCTCCCTCTGGCTCCCAGCACATACTGCTGTTGTAAACTGCTGCAATAGAAAAACAGAGGCACCTCGGTCAACATGCACTCTGCAGGAGAGCCGGAACCAACGTGATGCTTCACCACGCAGACAGACCTCATCGCTGCTGGCTCCGTTCCCTGCCTAGAACACCAATGCAATATAAAACTGTGGCCGAGGCGGCTCAGGGCTGTGTGAATGTGGCTCACAAGTATTTATTCATATTTATCGATGTGTGTTCTTATTAATTCCAGTCCTGTCGCTGTATTCTATTCTTTACAAGACTATTAAAGGAAACCCTTGTTTTGATCTGTTACTTGACCAGTTGGAGTGATTATTTGTTTTTAGTTCAGTTAAATCTAAGGTCGTGTTTAAGGTGGAGCATTCTTTAGCTGCCTTTCATACCAGAGTTGTAAATTAAGGTGGACCAATGTAAACAAATGATAGCTGTTTTGGTCAAATCTGCAAAATCACATTATGTGAAGTCTCAAGCAAAACTGTAAATTGTCACTGACTGACGTTGGGGACTGTCAGTTACCGCTCAACATCTATAAAGCTTGCTGAGTCAAACAGATTTTGGTGTTTATATGTGGCAGCCATCTTGAACAAGGTTTACTGCCTTATCATCCATCTTTGTCTGTTTGACAATGGGTAAGGGCCTGTATTTATATAGTGCCTTCTACAACGCCCCAAGGAGCTTCACAACACAATCATTCATCCACCCATTCTCACACACACTCAGACAATGAGCCACATTGTAGCCACAGCTGCCCTGGGGCTCACTGACGGAGGCGAGGCTGCTGAACACAGGCGCTGCCGGTCCCTCCGACTACCACAAGCAGGCAAGGTGGGTCAGGTGTCTTGCCCAAAGATACAACGACTGCAGACATAGTGGGACTTGGTCTCACAACTCTCTAGTTATGTGACACTGTCACTTAACTCCTCTTCCACCATCATCCCAATGGGTGCTGTAGAGGGGTGAATATATTGTTGCTTTTAAGCTTAATATACTACCTTTATATATGACCAATAAGCTGTGATACTCCATATAAATATAGAAATTCAATCTGCTTGGTCTTTGGATGTTTAATCAGAAGATTCTAGGATTCTTTGTTTTATTCAGGGATCAAACACACTTCATCTCAATTCAGACTGAGTCAGGTTTATAAAAGCAAGAAATTTATTTTCTAAACAATTAAAAACATGACGAGTTAAACAAGACTACTGTGATGGATGAATCTAAGTGGATGGGATGGGATGTATGGTGATTGAATGGTGTGTGTTTATCAGAACCTCGTATCTAGAAGAACTGAGTTCTGGGTGTGAAAAGAATTGGGTTTGTATTAAACTAGGAAGTTGGTTCTTATCAAAACGGCATCAGACGCAATCATGCTGTGTCTACCGCACCCTTTCTTTGGAGACCCTCTTCGCGGATCCGGAGGTCAGGGAGGTCGGATGACCTCTGGGCACCGAGGTTCAGTAGATTAACCGCAGCACCGACGCTCCAGTCCAGAGATGTCGCCAGGCACACAGGTTGGAACTAGTTTGTGTCTAGAGCAGCTGTTTCTGAATAGCTGAAGGAACCGTTTTGCTGTTTCAGCTGCAGGCAGCTTTTAGCTTGTCGAAATCTTGTCAAGAGATGCAGTGGTTATAGTTTCCTCTGGTGGCCAGTCCGGAGTTCTGCTCAACTAACAGGATGCTGAATCTCACAGAATGCTGCAATGCTGGAACGATTGAATGATGGAATGCAGGAATGATGAATCACTCCCCAATGATTCTGTTTCAATATTCTCATATTGTGATTTACTTGGCCAATCGGAACGTGCCATGTTAAGGGGTCTTAACGCCTTCTTTCAGATACAGGATGCTCTGATTTGTGGCTAAGAAAATATCTATGTGCAGTGACGTTACTTTAACTTTAATTTATCTCTAATGAACATTGTGTCTGAGTGTAGATAATGATTCACTTGTTAAACCAAACATTACTGATCATCGTAATAATATTCATTTTAACTTCATTAATTCAAGCACAGATTAATCAACCTTATTAGTTTAAGCACAGATTAATCAAAACATTATTATTATTCATCAACCATTGTTGTTCATTCAACTATATGATTATTTACTATTATAATGGTTCAGTTCTTTATTCTGTGCAGGACAGCCTAGATAAGCAGACAGACTTGGCAGAGAAGAACCTTGAGAAGGGAACATGATGTTCACAATATGTTATCATGTGTTCAGAGCTGCAGAGAGGCCCGGACTCCAGCTGATGGAATGGCAGGATCCGGCAGATTAAAGGCAACAGATGTAAACTCCTGTCTCCATATGACCAGATACTGAAGAAGTCAAACTGTACATGAAAAACTGACCATTTGTGGATGTTGCAGTGCTGATATGAGATTTCATTGTTCCAGTCAATTTGTTTTCAAAAAGAATAAAAACGTGGCTCACACAGAAAGCATTCAGCTTAAAGCATTTTATTGTGATGACGATATATTTTCAAATTCTAAAAAAACATTCAAAACTCAGTATTGTTGATTTCTATTGAAATTGTATTTTGTTCACCATATTCTTGTGGTAATCTGGCCAAATGCTTAGTTTTTTGAGGAAAAGTTAACCTAATTCATTAAGAGCATTCTTTAAAATGTTTGCAAATATTTTGTATATTTTATCAAAAGTCAAACTGTTCTTTCTTACCTCCTTTGGAACGTATTTGTCAAAAATTGTTCGTTCTTTCATTCGTTCTCCTCTGCTTATCCAGGTCCGGGTTGTGGGGGTACCATCTCAAGTAGGGCATCCCAGACAGTCCTCTCCCCAGCCACCTCCACCAGCTCCACTGGCAGAACCCCAAGGATTCTTCAGGTCGGATTGGAGATGCACTTGCTCCAATGTCCTGGGTCGACCCGGGGAACTTTGGCTGGCAGGACATACTCAAAACACCTCACCAGGAAGGCGTCCAGGTGGCATTCTGGCTAGATGCTCGAACAACCTCAGCTGGATCCTCTCGATGTGGTGGAGCAACGGCTCCAAGTCCCTCCCGAATGTCCGAGCTCCTCACCCTATCTCTACGGCTGAGCCCAGCCACCCTCCAGAGGAAATCCATTTTGGCCACTTGTCTCTACGATCTTGTACTTTTGGTCATTACACAAAGCTCATAACCATAGGTGAGGGCTAAGTGTAAATCGAGAGCCTTGCCTCATCACCACGACAGGCCAGCTCAGCGTCTGCATCACTGCAGATGTTGCCCTTATCCGCCTGTCGATCTCCTGCTCCCTTCTTCCCTCCTTTGTGAACCAGAACCTGAGACACTTAAACTCCCCCCCCTGAGGCAGGACCTCTCTCCCGACCCAAGCCACCCTTTTCCGGTCAAGAATTCTCCAAAATGTCTAAAATATTCTCTGAAATAACAGATTCCTGAGACAAATTCAGCCTATTTTAAAAACGTAGAACATGGGGCATCATCCTTACCTACACTAATCAGCACAGGTGGAAACGTTAGAGTTTTTTTACTCTCAAAGTGAACAATCAAGCCCTCTCTCTGACCTTGGTGCTCAGGAGATCTTTTTCCAAAACCAGGTGAAAAGGTAAGTCATTTATTTTCTTCTGCCAAGATACAGTTTGACAACACCGATGCTTTCTTTTTTCTTCATATTCCAACAATTTCTGGCTGAAGCAACAAAGTGGTCTGCCAAGGGCAAATCCCTCAGCGGCAGAAGAGAAATGGCGTGGGATGAAGCGAGAGAGAGAAAAAAAAGATGGGAGGAAAGAATTTTTTTTTTTTATTAAAAACAGTTTGTGAATACATCCACTGTTATGCTGAGTAACCTTCAGTTCACCTGAACCTTTGCTCACTTCTGAATGGATGATTTCATCACCCGACAAAAACACGAAAACCTCTGTCTTTCTCCTCTTTCTTCTCTTGGTCCTCTCACTATCTTGTGACAGACTTGTTTCATTAGTACCTGGATAAGACGCGTTGCTCTTTCCTCTGACTATCAGTCAGACTTATTATAGCCTCTCCTTTTCCATCCAGCTCTGCCTGAGTGATGTTTTCAGTTCGGCTGGTGAGTTCTGAGCAGTGCTCTTGGTAAGGCTGCTTACAGGAAGTTTCTACTTGAAAATGATCTTCGGTTTCTATCTGTTGCTGTGCAAAAATCTGTCACAGCTCCTTGCATTCAGAACCAGCTCCTGATGTAAAAATCCACAAAGCTTAGATAAACATGCAGCAGTTTAATGGCTAAACATCCTCAGGATGAGCTGTGACATGGATTAAAAACATTCTTAATCAGTGTGTGTGTGTGTGTGTGTGTGTGTGTGTGTGTGTGTGTGTGTGTGTGTGTGTGTGTGTGTGTGTGTGTGTGTGTGTGTGTGTGTGTGTGTGTGTGTGTGTGGCTGTAAGTGAGCAACATGCAGATAAGATTGCAGTGGGAAAAAACTGCACATCAAAATCTTGTTCCAGGGTCGATATCAGCCCCATCTGGCAGGCGTGGTGAATCGATGTGGATCTCTGGCATTATACCACATTATCGCTTAATGACACTGCCAAAGTTCAAGGAGATTATGAAAATCAACACGAGGTTTAGCGTCATCTCATTTGGAAGTGCAGACTGGCCAGATGTACTTCCGACTTTGAGCTGAAATCTGTCAAGCTGGAGATTTTGCGTCGTTTGTACCAATGAAACGACTTTCCTTCAAAATAAGGGTGAACTTGCTGACGCCTGCCGACTACACCGGAGTTATCCTCAGACGGGCGTTGTGTGCTGCGACCGCTGTTTCAACCAGCTCCAGTACCCATTAAGGTCCGAGGACCTGGCAATTCCTGATCTACACGGGAGACTCCCTACGGTACGTGGTCACGGCACAAAATGGCGGCTCATGTCATCAGCTTCTGAAGCCTCGTGGTAGCCTAGACATAACAAACCAGACTCGCTACGTCAGCCTAGAGATTCTGAACAAAACACACACACACACACCAACACGAAACATCTAAATCCATATGCATTCATCATTGAGATAGTCCTGGTAGATTGTAAGAATTTATAATTATAGAAATTAAAGATTCTTAAACGATCCCAACTCTCTCTCTTTCTTGTCTCTCAGTCAATACAGAGTGTTTAAGTAAACTCCCTGATGATAAAAACAGCCACTTCTGATTGATTTAATTACAGTGTATAAATATACAAAATCAGATAATTAAATAATCTAATTACAGTATATAACTATACCACTTCAAATCACAACAAAGGCAATGATGCAACCATCTGGTAGCTTGGTTGTTTATGTATGAGGTCATTTCCTTATGTTTCCACTTTATTTTT